GGACACTGCCATCTTGTGTTAAGTGTAATGTTAGGTCAGCACTATGCAGCCATTGTCCAAGGGATGAGCCTCCAGCAGCTCTGAGACGATTGTTTACTTTCCTAATTTTTATGTAACCAGGTGCATTGTGCTTAGCCAACCCTCTGAAGAGAAGGGGAGATCTGTGAGACAGTTTAGATTTGGCCAATTTCCTGCTTGCAGCATGTTTATACAGGGCGTTTGAAACCAAATGAACTGCAAACTGAAACCTTTTGAAGTCTTTCAATAAATTCCTTTTACATACAGTCATTTGTAATCACAAAGTAAAAGTGCACAACCTCCCGGGGACTTTTCCCCCTGTCATTCTGCTTGCAAAATTGTTCTTGTATATTGTAAATGTGGAAAGTCTGGGATTTTTCCACTCTTGAAACTGCAGTGTCAAACCTTGGTGGCCTCTAGAGTAGGAACTCAGAAAAAACCAACCAGTTTGCTACCAGACCACTGCAATCAATGGATTACTTACCCCTAATTCCTCATAAACTGATCATGCCCCTGCTACAGCCTGTTCTCTGTTCCACGGCGGCGGGAATCGGGCCTCCAAAGCAGGGGTTTACCCGCCACCCGCCCCCACTTGGCAGCCCTACATCGCTTACCTAGTATGATGATTAGTATAGTCAGAACAGAATAACTGAATGTCGCATTCTTCAGGTAGGGTTGCCAGCCTTCAGATGGGCCCTGGAGATCTCACAGAATTACAATTGGTCCCCAGACTACAAAGATCAATTCCTCTGGAGAAAACAGCGGGCTTTGTAGGGTGGGCTCTCTGCATTATACCCCACTGAGGTCCCTCCCCAAACCTGGCTCTCTCCAGGCTCCACCCCCAGATCTCCAGGAATCTTCCAACCCAGAGTTGGCAACCCTACAGACTTGGCTGTGTTCCAAGAAATCTCAATATGTTCTTGCTGGTAATAACACGGTAAAACTCAATTGCAAGGATTGTAGATCGGATCCCAGTTGTGAGATAGAGTCTGAAGGGGGGGGGGCTAAGGTGCAATTATTTGCCATCTTGTCTTCCCTCTCCTGCCACCATCCCCAGTTGGACTGGTGGCCTTTTGGCTGTAAACTTTTGACAACTGTTCTTTGTTTCTGGTGCTTCCTCTTGCCAGGGGTATTAAATCATAGGAGTTTTAGAAAAGTCGCTCATAGGAAATGGCTCACCGACAGAAAATGTGTTCTGTGTCCTGCCACATCCTTTCGGAGCTTTGCTAATAGCTGCTTTTGCCATGACCCATGGCCAGACATTTTTATAAGCTGGCAGCACCCCTCCTCTCCCAGACAGTTTAGATGGCTTAGTTAGGAGGCACACCAGTGGCCTATATTTTGTGCTTTTACGAGATGCTAAGTGAGTTCTATTCTAGGAAGCCGTTAGGCTAATTGGTTTGAACCGCTGCTTAGAAAGTATACAAATGCTGCAGATTCATTATTGGACACTGCCATCTTGTGTTAAGTGTAATGTTAGGTCAGCACTATGCAGCCATTGTCCAAGGGATGAGCCTCCAGCAGCTCTGAGACGATTGTTTACTTTCCTAATTTTTATGTAACCAGGTGCATTGTGCTTAGCCAACCCTCTGAAGAGAAGGGGAGATCTGTGAGACAGTTTAGATTTGGCCAATTTCCTGCTTGCAGCATGTTTATACAGGGCGTTTGAAACCAAATGAACTGCAAACTGAAACCTTTTGAAGTCTTTCAATAAATTCCTTTTACATACAGTCATTTGTAATCACAAAGTAAAAGTGCACAACCTCCCGGGGACTTTTCCCCCTGTCATTCTGCTTGCAAAATTGTTCTTGTATATTGTAAATGTGGAAAGTCTGGGATTTTTCCACTCTTGAAACTGCAGTGTCAAACCTTGGTGGCCTCTAGAGTAGGAACTCAGAAAAAACCAACCAGTTTGCTACCAGACCACTGCAATCAATGGATTACTTACCCCTAATTCCTAATGAACTGATCATAAGGCCCCTGCTACAGCCTGTTCTCTGTTTGCTTTAATTATATTAGAAAGAAAGAAGCTCAGATACATATTTAGTTTTCTCCAGCTTCCAGTTTCTTGATGATCAATTTTTTTAAAGTTCCCCTTCCTCAACCCACCACAACCCTTGCCCCATATCCCATATTCATAAGACAGATTCGATAGTGCCACATGGTTTATACCGGGGCAGAGGAAAAACTCACATTTGCTTAACCTGAATTTTATGGAAACTGGTAGGAAAACACCAACATGGGATTTGTATTTGTTTGTTTATTATTTGCTTTTTAAAACGACTTTCTTCTTGGTTTTGTTTTTTTAAAATAATATTTTTTATTATTTTCTAACTACAAACACTACAAAAAGACTAACAGCCTGTTGCTGGCCTCCAGGGCCCGTGCTGGAGTAGTGTGGCCCCAGGGAGGCCCAAGGAGGCCCGTTGCCGCCTTCCCGGGGCACTCGCTGGAGCTCTGGGTCCCTGGGGAGGCACGAGGAGGCCCGTCACGGCCTCCCCGGGCAAGCGCCACAGCACTGCGGCCCGGGGGAGGCTGGAGGAGGCCTGTCACCACGTCCCTGGGCCAGCGTCGGAGTGCTGCGGCCCGGGGAAGGCCAGAGGATGCCCATCGCACCTTCCTGGGGCTCACGCCGGAGTGCTGAGGCCCCAGGGAGGCCCAAGAAGGCCCATCGCTGCCTTTCCGGGCCCGCGCCAGAGCGCTACAGCCCTTGGGAGGCCTGGGGAGGCACATTGCCGTCTTCCTGGGGCCCGCGCCAGAGTGCTGCGGCCCCGGGGAGGCCTGGGGAGGCTCGTTGCTGCCTCTCTGGGGCCCGCGCCAAAGCGCTGCAGCCCCGGGGAGGCCGGAGGAGGCCCGTTGCCGTCTTCCCTGGGCCTGCGCCAGAGCGCTGTGGCCCGGAGGAGGCCAGAGGATGCCTGAGGATACCCCCTGCCACCTCCCTGGGCCAGTGCCAGAATGCTGTGGCCCGGGGGAAGGCCAGACGATGCTCCCCGCCGTCTCCCTGGGCCAGCGCGGCCTGGGGGAGGCCAGAAGAGGGGGTCCCGCCTCCCGGGGTAAGTGAGGGATCCGCGGGGGGG